ATCAGATCCAGCATCCAAAGTTTAGTGGACAATGACTTCTAGTAGTATATACCCTATATGCAATATTTTTGCAAAAAGAACCAAGTCCAACAGCTGTTATTTCCCTCAAAAATCAGAATTCAAATAATAACATGTACATATCTCATTTATGTCAACGTCTCTGATATATGTGAAATCCATCTACAAAAGAAAAAAGTTTAAAAACTTAAGCACTATCTGGACTTCTGGGGTTGAAATAATTGATGTCCGATGGTCTGGAACCATATTCTTTCAAGTTTTTAATCTAGCCTAGTACATTGTAGAAGGCATGTGCCCTTTTATCAGTGTTTTTGTTCCCTGCTAAAAGAAAGGGATATCAATATTTGGTAAGTCTGTCGTGAAATTTTACACAGCAACTCCATATGGCCTCAGATAGATCCCTTTTGATTTTGAGGTCAAAGTTCATTTACATAGTTTGTGAAACACTATGCGCCCGGTGGCAACAAAGTTGGCGACCCTATAAGAAGTGGAAAACCATTGTTATTCCATGAAAAGAAAATATCCTTATTCATTATGTCATTATAAATCTAGTATCATCAGACTAGGCTGTGCAGCCTGTGTAAACAAAGTGTTTATATTGATGTCGCTCGTAAATTATCGTGAATATTTTTTCAATTTTAAAAATTAAATCCATAATGGTCTGAACATAAATATTATTGCATACAAATTAACGTGTGACCATAAACATAAGATTAAAATTCAAAATCTGTATTTTAGTGTTATCATGAAATTAGCGTTATGTCAGACTGTCCCATGCGGATTTCATATACAAGGTATTCACACCTATACTGTTCATTATATAGTATGCATTGTTTAAATTTTGAGTATATTTACTAAATCATAGTCTATATCAAGATATTACCATAAACATTTGCCATTGCAAACATTACTTAGAAAATTTAGCATTTGCCCACAGACTTTTTGAACAATCCTGGTACATAGTACATATCACTGCACATATATCCATATTTTGATTGCAATAGACGAGTTTCACATTTCAAAGAGTTGTATTCCATTTTTGGCATAATGCTAATTTTCCCCACTTTGTCCTTTGCAAGTTACCTATCGTTAATCTGGAAATTTTTACATCGACTTATCTTTGCGTATTTGGGTCAAAAAGCTGATAATTAATTTTTACGCTTTAAAATTTTGCAAATTGTCACTGGTGCTACAAATAAGAATCCCGATTTTCATCTCAGTTTTTGTTATCGCCCATGTTGATACATGGTTAGATAAATCAACTGGTCTCTCTTTCTAGGCAAATTAATTAAAAAGTGACATACCGTCTCAGTACTTGTCAAACCATTGGACGATATTGCATATAATGAGGGCAATTTTCACACACTGGTAATTAGCTTGTAATTACAGCAGTATAAACAGATTTCTTTTTACAAAGGACCAGTGCTTACCTGAGTTAACCAAGTTGAAAATAGACACCAACTATCAGAAAAAAAATTCTTTACATGTCGATTTATTTTTAAGAAATATACTTTTGCGAATGCAATGCACCTGCAAATGTGCTAAAAATTTATCTACAGTAAAAATTTCCAGATTTTCGGTAATAATATTTTTAATCTTCAAATGTAATCGAATAATTTCGATTTGTACCTGACGTGTATTGCCAGAGTATGGAGTAATATGATTAACATAATGAACATATTCATACAGAATTTATTTCTAAGATACTGACTCATGAAGTTGGTAAGATAATAGACGGTTAACAGTGACTTACGCCGATTGAACCATGACTGATCCCGCACAGTCAGGGGAATAACTTTTTTAAATGTGAAAGTTGTCTGTCAACATCCCCTTTGATCAAAGGTAATCATACACTTCAAAGAAAATTTGATGCAGCATTTATAAAAATTATTTGTTTTGCAAGCTTGAAATAAATTAATTGTTATAATATTTCAGATAAAGAAACATATGCATATATGTCATGTTTTACTCTGCATCATTCCTACTAAACAGGGTCAATGTACCGCTTACATAGAGAACATCAATACATATACAAGTCACAACTCACAACAAGTGCCGTTTTGCATATATATAGGTGCCGTTTTCAGTAAGTGCCATTTTCACTAGGTACTTTTCGAATGATTAGGCCTAAATTAAAATTTTGTTTGTTTGCCCTTAGCGGACCGACCCACGAAAATAAGCCCGACTCAAAATATTTTATTGTACTTTTCATTTACAAATTTTTTTATTTGATTTGTTTCTTGTCAATTTTTTTTCACATAAAAATATAAATGCTTTGATTTTCCCTTTTCTCAGTCTTGTGTTAATGATTGACATTAGGGTAAGAAAAAAACACTCGCAGAGATATATTTGATCTTGTTGATCATGTTGATGAATGCGCTGACTACCACGTTCATAAAGTTAACAAGACTGCCGGTCGTTTGGAGCATGCTACTTATCGATTTCATAATAAATTTCGCCAACATCACTGACAAAAATAAATTTGTCATACTTTAATTCAATTACTAAATCCAAGTGGAAAGAGCACAAAAGTAGTTTTTAAAATTTGAAAACGACGAAGGATGTCATGCTTTGTTGATATTTCGACCGCCATGATTAAATTTGGGGTCAGACTAATAAAAGGAAATGCACAATATTGCGAGGTTTTACTATACTAAGGAAAATATTTCTTGTCTAGACAGTGTGTAAACGTTTAAATAATACCTGTCATACAAGTCTCATTTTTAAATAAAAACAACTTTAAAAATGTGAAATCCCAAGAAGATATTAATGCAATTAATGAAAGGTGGGGCTAATATCAGTAATACACCCATTGAATGGAATTCAAAAAAAAAAATTCAACTGTTTCCATATATTGTTTAAAGTAAACAAAGTATTGTTTTAGACTCTTTTAAAAAAGAAATCAATAAACATTTTTGCATTGACATACAAAGATAGATATGCAGCTTATAGTATTCCAGATTTGTTTAATAGGTACTAGTACATTTTGTTCCATGAAGCAAAGTTCCAATTACAAGGAATATGTACACAGCAATATTGAATTTCTAAAATTTTAGTAGTACAGTTGTAATTTGATGTCAAAAAGAAAAAAAATAAAATATTTTTCCTACCTACCTAACCATTGCTAAAAATCTGGGTCGGCAAAGGGCAAACAAACAATACTTTAATTTAGGCCTTATAGTTATAACGTTCCTACCAATCAACGCCATTATTTTCTTTAGAGAATCCGAACTACATATTTCATCACGTTTCAAATCCAGAGTACATTTTCGATATAAATACAAAAAAACAACATATTTAATACCCAGTAAAAATAATTTATTATGACATATATAAATTTCTCGAACCAGCAATCCTTTATAACACAGTTGAAATTATGTCACCTCAAAATCGATATATTCGCAAAAGCATTTCACATTCCATGATGTTTAAACTTAAAAACTACAAACAATCATACCCACCCTTCGTAATGCAAACTCTTAAACCTAAAAAAACAAATTAAATCGTGTAATGACGCTTGACTTTCTCCGAAGACTTTCCTGAGTTGCCGGAAGACGCTGTAATGGCCGACTACATTTGCGCATGTGTGAGATATTCTAAATCAGAAAGTGTATCGGCGTCGCAACTATATTTCCGGAATATCAAAATCAGCTGGAAAAAAATATCTCGGATGCAATATTGAATTTTATACATTGACAAACAACATTATTACAAACATTTTCCTATTGCATATTCTAATAGGTAATTTACTATAAAGATTTCCAATGCACCATACTTTATTCCATACTATTATGCAACTAAACTTCAATATATGATCAAAAGAGCCCCGCCCTAACTCCAGAAACCCTGACCCCTGGGGCCATGAATTTCACAATTTTGGTAAATGGCTCAATGCTGATTAAAATCATGCCAACAATTTGACTGCTTGATGTCCAGGAGTAAAGAAGAAGATTTTTAAAGACTGCATTAATTTTATTGGTTTTGGCCCCACCCCTCAGGCCCCAAGGGGACAGGGGCCATGAATTTCACAATATTTGTTTCCCTTCACCCATAGATGCTTTGTGCAAAAATTGGCTGAAATTGGTTTTGTAGTTTTGGAGAAGAAGCCGAAAATGTTCAAATTTCATTACATAACCAATATAGACACCCCCAGCCCAAAACCCTTCACCCCAGGGCAACAAATTTCACAATTTTGACAAAGGCACCCTTGATCATCATAACCATGCACCTAGTTTATCTGCTTTATTCACAGGGGGAAAGAAGAAGATTTCTAAGAATTTTACATTTTCAATATATGATCAACAGATCAGAGCCCCGCCCTAACTCCAGAACCCCTGACCCTGGGGCCATGAATTTCACAATTTTGGTAAAGGGCTCAATGTTGATTAAAATTATGCCAACAGTTTGACTGCTTGATGTCCAGGAGTAAAGAAGAAGATTTTTAAAGATTGCATCAATTTTAGTGGTTTTGGCCCCACCCCTCAGGCCCCAGGGGGGCAGGGATCATGAAATTCACAATTTTTGTTCCCCTTCACCCATAGATGCTTTGTGCTAAATTTGGTTGAAATTGGTTCAGTGGTTGCAGAGAAGAAGCTGAAAATGTTCAAATGTTAACACACGACACACGACACACGTCACACGACACACGACGGACGACGACGGACGAAAACGGATAGCAATAGGTCACCTGAGTTACTCAGGTGACCTAATAAATATACGTGTAAAAAGAAATTATACTCAAAATACATGTATTTATACAAAAACTTGGAATACTTAAGATGATGCCTTTTTCAATACTGCACATTTTTTTTTATTGCATTTTTCCTTTTTCCTTACCCTTCAATACTGACTGAAATATTACTCCAACAAATGTTTTATTTTTAATATAAGATTTGCAGAATTTCAATTAATATGAGTTTCAAAATCATTCTTGACACAATAGCAATTTGAATAATAATTCATTTTATGACTTCATTACTTACAAAGAACAACAGAACACTAAAGCTGGTGAAATATCGGAAACACTTGCTCCAGGACGGAACAAAAGGTTCTTCTCTCTAAAAATTAAAGCAACAATAAATTTACTTTGTTTTATTTTTTTTTTTTACTTCGCATTGTTTTTTCAACTTCATTTTTACTTTGTCTTGTCTTTGTAGCTTACATTGGTGACAGGGTTTGTCCTTCTCCGAGTCACGCTGGCCTCATACTCTGGTCGAACTGTCTCCTACAATAAAAAAGAAATTATAAAATTATACTGAGGAAATTCGTTTTTTGGTTGAAAAAAATGCTATTTTTCATTTTATCACCCATAAAATTACATGTACGATAAAGTAGTATTTGACTGAAAATTCATTTCCTTTCATCATTGATAAAAGCATTTATAATATTTGAGTCCATAAAAGTTTTACTGTTCATCTGGAAAATTGAAAAATTAGTTACCTCCCCTTCTTCAAAGTCTGCCACATCCCACTCGTATTCAATCTCGGCTTGTTTCCTCTTCCAGAACTCGTGGAAAAATGAGGCTGTGAAGAGAAGAACAACCCACCAATAAATATCTTAAACTTACAGAATTCATAACTTCTAAAAGATCTAGAAGACAAAAACTCAAATTATTTTTCATATATACTGACTACAAAGATAATTTAGGCTTCCATGATTGAGACTCAATTTGAATGGTCTTCGTTTCTGATGAATTTTGTATAGAACAGAATTTACATTTATATCTACCAGTTAGAAAAAGTGTGTATGAATAATCCAAACAATTTGCTCAGGAACAACAATGTCAAGATTATGGAGGTTTGACTGTGTATTATGTCTTACCCCACAGAGCCATAAAAATAGCAAAGGCCACGGTAGCAGAGTTGTCAAACAGATACGTGGCCTTGGAGTAGTTACAGCTCTCAGACAGACGCCAGTATGAACAGCGCCTGTCACACATCGGACACATCGTGTAGTTACCAATGGTCGGGTCGTCACAGATCTCAGAACTGTAAGGGACGAATTCACTGCATGACATTGTTTTAAAAAATCATTTCAATAAACATAAAACTAAAATATAATAGCTGAAACAGTGCATATGAAATTAAAAATAATAAGGAAAAATTCTATCAAGTTAAAAGTGTCAAACATGTAATACTTATAGTTATGGAAAGTTCTGTCACAAAATACAGGCAAACTTTTTTTGATCTCAGAGGTAGTTAATAATGGGAGATTTTATTGGAAATCCTCAACAGCACTTGTAATTCAATCTTTTTAATACTGAGCTAAAAACACATGGCTCACTAGACAGACAAACCTTGGCACATCCCTCATTAATGTACCCAGTCCATAGATGAAGACAATGAATCCCACAATGGCGGCCGGGATCAACATGGTGGTATAAAATCCCAGCCAGGTAAAGTAAATCCCTATCTTCTCTCCAAAGTAGTTTCTGTATGAAGAAAAGAAGTTTTTAGTTCCTTTCAAACATGGGTAAGTTTAGGTAAATTAGTGCTGATCTGATCTGTACAAAGACTACAATTGAATTTTCTTTATCTATAAAGTTTAAGATTTGGTAAATTAGGGCTGAAGTGATCTCTACACAGAGTGCTACATCATGCTTAATATCATGCTACAAAAACTTGGGCTTTCAATATCCATTGATGAAATGTTGCATAATTGTAAAAGGAAATATGAAATATGATAAATTTATTAACTGTGTGATATTTGTTTTCATAAGTTGAATGTGTGTACTATGTTATCATCTACCAACAGACCAAAATAACAATGAAAATCTACCAAGTTCTGAATCAATGGCAGTATGGTTTATGACTTTTTCTTAAAAATGTAAATGCTGAAGGTTGTAACTATAAAGTTTCACATGATTTCGATAAGCCTTAAATATTTTGAGTTTAAATTTTTTTTTCCTATAGTTTGGCATTAGAAGAGCCAAACCTTTGTAAGTTTACCTGACTAGGTCTAGTGGCTGATACTTGTACCAACGCCCTGGTCTAGCCCATAGCTCATACAGTAGCTGTCAACAATAATTATATACTAAGTTACATTGGGTTTTTTTACATAATCAAAGCCTTACATACGTGTTTCAGGCTATAAAAAAATTATGGATTTAAAAAATCTCTTTTACTTTGGACACTTAAATGAAAATCATTTGTGAAAACATTCAGTTTTTACTAAAAGAAATATTTAATGTTTGCTTTGAATTTATTATAGAGAGAGAAGCACTAGATGACATTGCTGTCTGACTCTAACACACTACAGATATGCATCACAGTCACACAGAGATATATTTACATGTCGATCATTGTCTTTGCCAACAGTTAGCAGTGAGTGTTCACTGTGGTACCGTCCCTGTAAAAATGAACAAAGACATAGGTAATAAAAGTTATAATAAGATAAATGGTCACCTTGTTGAATGTTATCAATATGCGATGGAATTCTCACATCATACTCTTTTATTAATTCATATTGTGCATCCTATTAAGTTTGGTTTAAGTAGGACAGAAGATTCTTGGGTATGAATCTGCACGACATACAGTACATTTTTCCATTTATTATTGCAGAATCTTCAAAAATAATTTAAATACTTCTAAAAATAATTTATCCTCCACAAAGAGTCCCTCATAATTGAATGAAGATAATCCAGATCTGACATCAGAGATAAGAACTTACATCATGTAGTGGGTAGGCCGCTGTGTATGTCTGGTTGTCTGTCAGTTTCCTGATTCCTGTGTAAGACATTTAATATATTATTGTTCACAATTCAGACAAAGACAGTTCTGAACTTCAATATTTCCCACTTTTTTCTTAAAGTAATAAATAATAGTTAGTATGGAAAACTCAATACACTGTAATGGTAATATACTGTAAACCAACTTTTCACATGCGAGAAATTTTCACGAAGTTCGTGAGAGCCTTGTAATTGCGAATATTTCTCGCCGCGAACCAGACCTTAAAGTCTTTACATGTCTATTAACTGTAAATAAAAGAGCTTAATCGCAAAAAATAATTGTCGCAAAGTAGTTTACCCGTGGTAAATCGCGAAATAAAGTTGTCGCGAATAAAAGTTGGTTTACAGTATTTTTACCAAATATTCCCTCTGTGTGACTTGTTTTTAACTTTATTCCTACATTAATTTTTTTAAAAATAAAATATAATGCTTATATAGAAGTCTCAATAGTGGACATTTACCAAATTTCTTCCTCATCCTGTCCTCTTCATCATCAAGGTCAGTGAAATGTGTTCGGGAGAGAATTTCGTGACAGATCTTGCTCCTCTGAGCGTTTGTGAAGAAGGTATCCTTGTCTTTTATGACAAACCTGTAATACAGTGTTTAAGAAAAATAATGACATAAATCATTTTAAATTCTTAGAGATTTACAACAAATAAGAAATATACAAGTTCCCATCTGTTATTTGATATAGGTCTTTATCATTAATCTCTTGAGGCATTATCAAAACCTTTGTGTAGATATCCCTTTCAATGTTTACTTCTCTTCAAACTTCCATTAGATACATGTATGACAAAGAATTCTTACTCATTTAACATTTATTAAATAAAATTTAAAAATTCTATGTTCATTATTTTACATGTGATAAATTAATATACATTATGCAAAAGGACAAAATGAAAGATTTCAACAATATGTGGATGTAGTGATTCAAGTTAGTTTAATTGGCCCGTAATGTGCTTGCAGGTTCAATCCTTGAATCATGCATGCAAATACACATGACTGTATCAGACGAATTCTCTATACAACAAAATCTACTAATTACATATTAAAAAGGGTTATCCTTCTACATATAAAGTCTTTCTATTCTCTCTCATAGATGAATTCAAGGCAAACTAATCCCTTCTTAATTTAAGTATCACCAGTGCAAAATTTTTAACAATTCTCTGTCTCTCTCTCTCTCTGGAAAACTTAGGAGACCAAATTCTATGTCACTGAAAATTAAATTTTTACAGTACACATTGATTTTTTAGACATGAAAGACATATTCCATGAGAGATCTTGACAATGCAGAGAGAGTATTTACACATGCCGTAAAGTTAGGATTATGGTAAATTTAGGTCTTATTTTTAGTACTTGATTCTAAATAGATATAAGGCAAACTGTCTTCTAAACAGTATTACATCATCAACTATTTACCATGCATGTTTCGGGGGTATAACTAATTCCGGTACAATATCAAGGTTTATGCGAAAAAATATTATATTACTTGTACTTAATATTATCTCATATCATAATATAATATATATAATATAATATGTCATTCCATCTTCAATTTCCTTAAATCAATTCATTTTAATTAATTAGATGGTACTGTATACAGGAAAATTTTCACACCTTTTGCCCTTATGGAATGTGTGCAAATTTAAAACAGTGATTTCATGGGAAACTTTTCTTAATCACTTTTGTTTCAGCATATGGGCAAAATTTAACCAGGGCAAAAATGTTTGCAAGTTTTAAAGGCCAAATATAACAGATAGTAAAAAAATCAGAAAACATTGATATACGAGCATAATAGTTAAGTTCAATTTTTTTATCCAAAGATTGAGCTTTTCTTTGTGCAATTTTAGGATACCAAAGTGTTACCATTATTGGGGGTGGGCGGCGGAGATGAGGGTTTATTAGTATGGAGAGAAAATTTATCTGCTTTTGGTTCAGAGACGAACCCTTGGCTAAATGACTGGAAAGAAAACTGCATGTCCATTCAGAACAGAGTTGAGATGGAGATATTACATTTGTGTTATGTGTATCCCTTTCCAGGGAAAACATTGGACAAAGTTTCTTGCATTCAGTGCTTAAATTTACTGGAAATATTGAAAGAGAATCCAACACACAAGATTACAGTTTGTACATGTATTGAATATAATTAAACTCCTGTCAAATTTCAGATAATGTGAAAGAAGAGAATTTACTTGAACTTAGTACCATAGATAAATGTATTGTGTACTAATTAAAAAAAGATACAATAGACTTATATATATATAATCAATAACTTGGGACATAATCAAGGGTATACATGCACCATATGCATACAGATTGTTCTAACATCCATTGTCTTGTTATATCAGTTGATTATAGAACCAAGGGCTATACATACTGTCCTCTGGAATTAGAGAGAAATATAAAAAATAAATCATTAATTACAATAATGAAGGACTTATAAACAACCTTTGTCAGAAAATGAATACATTAGTTACATATAAATGTCCAACAAGTGGATAACAAAGAGCTGATGGAGAAAAAAAAATTATCCCAGATGACAAAATGCAGAGGCATAATTGCTGCAGGCATTTGTTACAATTTAATCCTTATGTGTGAACAAGCAAAGTATATGAAAATTAACTGTAACAAAAGACCTCAACTGTTGAATCTACAGGTTCATAAGTTACTTCTCCTTTGAACCCATAAAATACTAATGTGATTTTATTCTTATTCAAAACTTATTCAACTTTATCTAATATGTCTTTATGATCATGTAAGCAAAATGTTATATGAGCAAGCCGAGATTTTATGATCATTTTAACAATAAAAGTATCCTGATGAAATGGGAAAATTAGTAAGAGTTATAACCCTTTGCACAATTACCACAAACTTCAATATTTTTTTCTATTTACATAAGCATTGTTTTTTTCCTAAACAAAATTTCTTACTATTGAGTAAGACATAAATATTCTTAAGATTTTGCAACACCTATAATTCATTGTCAATAATTTGATTATTGTAGAAGGAAAATATAAATATATTAATGACATTTGAAGAAATGTTATTCTGTACCTATATACTGTAAATACTTTAAGTTCATCATATACATGTGTGTATGGAAAGACAAACTGAAGGTTCACATTTTATGGTACATGAAAATGCATATCCAAGATGATATTGTAGAAACTGATGCATGGCAGATTACGTAAATATTTATTTACCATGATAACAATGTAAATATACTTATATACTTACTCTTCACCATTCCACTCCACACCAATATATCTAATTACATACAGTATCAAATTGTGAAATAAAAGAACAAAAGCCCCAACCACCCCCTGTAGACACCGTTTACTATTAGTTATCCAGGTTCAATCAAGGGTGTACGGGGATTTTCCCCGGGTTTTATTCCATACACCCTGAGGCCGCAAGCCGAAGGGTGTACGGAATAAAACCCGGGGTAAATCCCCATACACCCTTGATTGGACCTGGATAACGAATTTATTTCCTTTGTACCAATAAAAATGCTTTGTAAACATCAGAGTGTGTCTCAATCTATCGATTAGATAACTACGTACTGAGAATGTATGCACTGTGACGTCACATTTTATTTACACCCGGCCCAAGTCGGGTGCACGGCTATTTACACCCGACTTTGTAACCAATCAAAGCTCGTGTTACAAGCTAGATAGGAAATAAATGTCATTATCCATTCTTACTGAAACCAATGCATTTCTTCGCAAATGAGGTAAAAGTTTACTTCTCTTCAATTTTTTTCCCATCATTTTCTAGTAAATTAGGAAATGTAATATTTTTGACAACATCATGAAATTAACATGAAGCCTTGATGATCCATCTTCCTAAAAAAATTAAATTGATTGATTCTCTCTAACAAAGCATCACTACCCCCCATCCCACCCCCCTCCCAAAAAATAAATTGCTTTAAAAGATCTTTCCAGCAAGGCATTCCTTTTTGCTAAGATTTCCATCCCATTTGAAATGTTAGCTCAAAAACAGCTGATAAAAGATTCTAAATATTCCCTTACAAACAGATAATTTTTAAGCGGTTAGCTTCGCTAGCCGCTATATGGCATGTGTCGGCAACCGGAAACCTCCATAAGGCGCTACCTATCGGCATCGCTTTATCGCTCGTAACCTTATCCTTCTGCAACCAAAACCGGAAACTTCCACAAGGACCTACCTATCGACAACGGTAACTTCAGCAAATGATTTGTATACTGTCGGCGTAATACGCCCCCTGGTTAGAGATCGACAATATGCTGTGAAGTCTGACTAAAGCCAGCCCCTACTATATCACTTCGTACTAACGAAGTATATGCTGTGTATGAAGAGTGGCTATTATAACGATTATATCGAATTCTTATTAGTATATTTACCAAAGCATTGACAATACTTACAACACTTACTTTTAAGAACTGAGAATTTGGTCCTAATTACATGTGTATCGCGCGATCGCGATTTCTGGCAACTGTTAGTTTATTTTTGAAAGTTTATTATACAGCAGGTTGGAGGTTATTACAGACTGCAAAAAACATCAGCAAATCTCTCGATCGAGTTTGATTTTCCTTGCCAAAGTATTAAGAAACACCATTTATTAAGTTAATACCTGAAAAGCGCTTTTATAAAAACACCGAACGCATCTGTAAGTTTTACACTTTTTGTAACGTTTTCGGAAACAATAGGGTTACCTCCACTATGAAACGTTTGTTTTTCTTCTCTTTTCTTCTCTGTCTAATAAACAGATTATAAAAGCTCTGCTCCCAGGGATAAATTCTCTACTCCGTCTTTGATAATTTATAACAATCGATCATAAGGGATTACTTACTATTAGTTTTGTAAAAAATAATGGAGCACTTAAAGTAGTAAAATCAATTTTGAAAAAAAAATGGAGAAATATATATTAATTTTAATTAGCATTGTGATCCTTTTCTAAAAATCAACCGATATTATTTTCACAGAAGAATGAGGTATGAAAAATTTTGGCAATTAGCAAAAATTTAAAATATATACTTAATGCTTATTTAAAAGTTTTGAAAATTTGATCAATTCCTAGGGAACGTATTATTTAAGGAATGAATTTAATAGCTACCGATTTTATACGGTATAAACTGGGTTGGGGCAGTTTACGCTTTATAAACCGCGAATTTAATTTTCATTCATTTGCTGTAAGAAAAAAAGATGATTGTTCTTACAAAATGACTTCAATTTGTACAAAATTTGAATGTAACGTCAGGCGGATTGAGACGTTTTTGACGTGTGTCATTGTGACGTAGGCAACCCATTTTATACGATATGAAGTAAATTTTTTATCCAATCAAATACAGCGTTGCAATCAGAATTAAATTATTAGCTGTGAAAATACTTTTAAAATTTGAATTTGTTCAATTTGTCGAATATTGTTTTAAACGTTTGAGAAGAATACAATTAAAATACAGGTGTTTAGAGGCACATTGATAGAAAAGAAATCAGTGTATATTGTTTAACTGACATATTGAAGAAATTGACACTGATAATTTCTTAAGTTACACTGATTTTTAATGTACATTTGAATTTTTAAATACTAGTATTGATTGATTACACAACTTTCCTTTTCATGTTTTATTTGAGAACAATATTGCATGAAGAGTATATGATAAAAATACCTTATATGTCCTTATCTAGATATTGTGCCTTATATTGTGCAAGACTTCTTTCAAATGATTCTCATATACCATTTACTTTATTCGAACATTTACTTGTTTGAAAAGTCAATAAAATATATTTCATAAAGCTTGATAATCTTGTTTACTCGCCAGTCTTCCCGTAGAAGTAGTAGTTTATAATATTACTAAAGGAAGTATTCAGTATCTGTATCAAAATACAGAATGATCAATGATCGATTTAAGAAGAAAAGCTGACTCCTGAAAGTTCAAGAGGTGGGATCCGTTGCCTAGAAAAAGTAAGCATCCCTCGTTGACAGGTTAATTATATTGCCGCGATGAGCCTACACAACTGAATCTCTCTGATATCAATTCATTTACAAAGTCTCTCCTCAGCCATCCTTTTTTCTCTGACTAGCCAGCTGTAGATCTACACTACTCCAAATCCATTAATCTAACTTGTCATTTTTTTAGTTGTTTGTTATAGTAGGCTTTACAATTACCTAATTTCAGATTCAATAGAGAATAAAAGACAATGAAATTTTCAACATCAACATAATTTTTTTTTATCTAGAGAACAATTGGATGCCGTCAAGAGAGAATTTTTAAAAATGCACTTCCTGTCTTTCAAACTGAAGAAATCTCATGTTTAAATTTTGAAACATGCATTTCAATCTTATTAAAATTTATTTAAATGTTCCAAATCCGCTACCGCTTCTGAAACATCTAACATCCCATTCAGGGTCACATCAGAGCGACCTTTCAATTATGAATACATGTACAAGTAAACACAAACACTTTGGCCATGTAGATTCAAGCCTCGGTAAACAGTTCTCAAATTAATTCCACGGCTACATATCATCATTATTGATACTGTCTTATGTTGAATTAAAGTAATTTTGGAATAAATTTCATGTATCTTCTGCAGTCTGGCATCTAAACGTGAATAATGCAAACGAAAGAGCACAAACTATACAAGATACCCCACATGTCATACATAACACAACTTTTGCAATGCATATCTTTTTACTACAAAACTCCTCGGGTGTTTTGGTTGGGTGGTGAAAACAAGAAACCCATCTGAACTATTAGCCAGGATTTCGGAGGAACCATTTTCTTTGCCTAATCGAAGATTCACTCTTACATGAACCCAAATAGGATGTTGTTAGATGTTTGAGAAGCAGTAGCGGATTTGGATCATCTAATTTTAATTAGATTGCATCCATCTGTGACATCAGTTTGGAACAAAAACAGAATGTCTGGGTTTTTCTTCTCTGATGACATTGGACAAAGATATGCATACTTAAATATAATCATTTTATGCACTTTTTCGGTACATATTAGATGAAAGCATGCTAACCGCTTTTCAGTACTTTCAGTACTTTGATTTATATAAGAATTATAAATTTTCCCTTACGTGTCCATACGGGCCCTGTTGAAGGGTGCGGTGAAGTAGTCAGGATCGTCCGGTAGGAGATCGGGATCGAGGTCAAAGGGCGACGGAAACTTACTCCAGCAGACCTCAAAGCAGCTCTCTAGCTGTGTCTCCATGTCATTCTCCTATAAAAAGAGATAGAAAAAGTATGCACAGTGCAATAATATACAATTATGGACTCTTTTGGTGTTGAATATACTTTGTTATTCACCGGAAAAATATTCATATTGACCGAGGTTAAAAATGGACAGATCAATCATTTAGTTCATTGTTAGTTTATTACAATATTTTTTTCTCACTGGTAGTTTTTATAAAGTGAAATTCTTTTCTATTACAGTTCTGTATAATTTTTATATATACCGCCAGAGGCATCTTGATGTTGAGGAGTTCAGCATATCTAGCCAGTGTGTCCCAGGGTGCATGGACTTTAACAAAGCAAGTTTTACCATTCTTTGAGGACTGAAATATTAGTTTATAAGCAATGATTTTTCAATATAATATAAATGACATGACAGAAATTTTGCTTTTTTTTTCACCAAAACTTTCTTCATCTTTAACATCTGAACCTTTTTAATCAAATAAAAATTATTTTTTCACATCAATATCTACAAAAAAGCCAATTAATTTCTACTATATAATGAAATTTAAAATTTCTCACCTACATATGAATACCAAATCATAAATTAATGAGCACATTTAAACATTTACGATTAAATTTATGTCTTTTTTGTATCCACCTCTGAAAACATTAAAATAGTT